ACATAGGATCTTTCAGCTGGCTAGTTGGTCAGATGGGAAACTGGGCTGGGAGCAGATTAACACTTCATTCCTGCTGATTTCAATAGTGCCCTAATACGAAAGCTGTTTCAAGTGGATTGCCCTCCTAAGGATAACCCAGCCTACTTTGTTGCCCTTGAGATATGTTACTTTATAATAATACTAAGCCAGCTATATTAAATCTTATGTTGTCCAAGATGGCCAGAGTATTAAAAAAAAAAGCACAAAATGGCTCCAAGCCCAGATTTTCTAATGCAAGAAACACAATTTTTGCATCTGAATTAAATGACATCAACAGGCTATTTCTGTCCAAGTTTTAAGTCCCCAGTAAAAGTTCTTCCAGATGAGCTGAAATATCTAATAGGTTTTGCAGCATTTCACTGCTCGTTTTCTCTCTGTTTTGTAAAAAGTCTCGTGCAACAGGTGCTGGTGCCAAGTCGTCTGATGAAATTGTTCGCGAGGTGTCAAGTGACATCCAAAGTAAACTTCCCTCTGACTTTAACATTGAAATAGCAATGAGGAGATACCCAACCACCTACACCCAGAGCATGAACACCGTGCTGGTCCAAGAGATGGGCCGATTTAACAAATTATTGCAAACTATACGAGACTCCTGCATCAACATTCAGAAAGCAATCAAGGTAAGATAAGCTGACGAGAAAGCGTATTTAGTTTGAAGAGGTTGGAAAGAGTAGTTGTCAGCTCCCATTAGTTTCACTGGAGTCTTTGGGGGTTTTGCCCAATAGTTCTTTTAGTTTGAAGAGTTGCAATAATCCCTGAGCTCTGGCCTTCACCACTATTTGGGAGGTGCGGTTCTCAATTATAATAACATGCTCAGCATTATGCATCACTGCTGTTTTAGAAATCTAGCAGTAGAGACAAGGAGTTGGATGAAAAGCCATGGAAATACACTTTGGAGACGGCAACCTAAGCTAGTGGCTTGCTATGCAGCTGGAAAGATTCCCCCCCCCCCCCAAATTGATGCTCAAATGTCAGTGACCCAAACTGAGCAATGAGCTACTAAATTCTCTTTTCAACTCTTCCCTCTTCTAAAAACTTATCATGGACTCTCCATTTTAAGCCTTTTCCCCTTCTGGAATGGAACGGAACGGAATGGAACAGAACACTTTATTGGTCAAGTGTGACTGGAAACACAACTACAGTAGAGTAGTTGTATGTTCAATTACACAATCCAAGACAGTACAGAATACGCACCTTACATAGCTGCCATCTGACTGTATGGGAAGGACCAACTAACAAATTCGCATGTTCATGATCTGTGCGATAGAACTTACCAAATACAAGTATTGACAATAAATAACACTTGATTAAACCTGAATGTCGCCTGACTCTAATGCCTGGGCAACATAAAGTAGTGGTAGAGGGTGAAATACAGTAGTTAATTTTCAAAGTTGTTGCACCCGTCTGTCTCATCATTGTGTATCTGTCCTTCCACAACTAAACTGTGTAACAGAAATATGAAGTGTATCAACCCTAACAATAAACAAGATGTAAACTGAGCAGCGGCTCACTGTATGTGCTGCAATCACGTATCAACCTAACTCAAGCGTACAAGCTTGTACAGTGACAGATTTTGAGTGACCGCTGCATAGAGACTAAATTACTAAGCTACACCCTAGAAGCAATATTTGGTAAAAGCTATGTGATATGGAGGAACAAATCCATTTATTTGTCTTTTTTTCTCCTGTATCTCAAACAGGGTCTAGTGGTGATGTCTGCAGATCTGGAAGAAGTAGTAAATAGTATTTTGAAAGGAAAAATTCCAGGCATGTGGATGAGTAAGTCTTATCCAAGCCTCAAACCTCTTGGAAGCTATGTAAATGATTTTCTTGCCAGATTGAAATTCCTACAGGTGAGCATTTCACTTAAAATTTTGATCTGGGTGCACTTCAGATATGTGTAACTAAAATTCATCATCCTAGCACGTTTAATAGGAAAAGCTTTAAATACTCTTATAGATACACATTGCATGAAGTAGGTATAATTAATATCCAAAGCACTAGTTCAGATTCTGGGCAAATATTGTTTACAGAGATTTGTGTATTAGGGCAAATGTTATATAACCTAGTACAATGGCTGTCTATTCAAGTTGTGCCACTGAACACAGAATACTGACTTTTCCCATTCCAGAATGCCTGCACTTCAGAAGTCACCTCAAACAGAAGTACATAAACTTAAGTGCTGGAAACCCATCTTACTATTATGCTGTGGTAACAATTTGGTGAAGTTTCCTGCTCCTAAAGCATCTTATCATAAGATTTTAGATTGAATTTAGACAGAGGAAATATGGTTTGCCATCGTTGACAAAAAGGAACACAGGAAATATAATTCTTAGACATTCTGAAGGGGGCTATAGAACATTACAAGACAATTGTATCGTTTTTAGCTGCTTAGAGTGTTCTTGTGCTACTATCTAGAGTTGAGGTAGGAAATGTAGCATTCTAATATAATATGGTAGTCACAATCCCTGGACACGTTAGTTGGGGTTGACAGAACCCAGGATCTGGCACACTGTGGGGTCCACTGTCTTGCACAAACAGGAGGCAATCTCCCTACAAAACTTGCAAAAATCTGATTTTCCTTTGTCACTCATGGCACATTTAGCAAGGCTTGCCCATTTCTAAAAAGTGCTGGGGGTTGGGAATCCAGGTTGCATTCCATTGATACATCTTGATACAACCTAGTGAATTCATGTGTTAATATTAAACTAAATTTCCTCCGCATCCTATCATTGCAGACATGGTTTGAAAGTGGAACTCCCCCTATGTTTTGGCTTTCTGGATTTTTCTTCACACAAGCCTTCTTAACTGGTGCCCAACAGAATTTTGCCCGGAAATATACCATCCCAATTGATCTCCTAGGTTTTGATTATGAAGTTCTGGAAGACAAGGAATACAAACATGGCCCCGAAGATGGTGAATATGCAATCAGATTGGCAGTCCCATAATTGGGAGAACTTTAATTAGCATTTTTGTACTCTACCCTTCATCTAAGACACTCAGGGTGGAAAACTGAGGAAATGGAATTTAAGCTTCTCAAAATCATTATGAAGTTAGGCTGATACAGAGGTGGTATTCAGCAGGTTCTGACCAGTTCTGGAGAACCGGTAGCGGAAATTTTGAGTAATTCGGAGAACCAGCAAATTCCACCTCTGGAGATTTTACAGTGTCCTTCCCCTGCCACACCCACAGAACTGGTAGTAAAAAAAAATTTGAATCCCATTACTGGGCTGATTCTATACGGAAGTCCATATGCTAAGCAGAGGTGTGTGTATCATAGCCACCCTACCCTTTGTCCATTTGATCCTCTGCATAATATTTTCTTTATATTCCATTACTAGTTTAATTGAATTACAAATTCATGTTGGGAAAATTGGTCATAGTAAATTCCATGAAATTATCACAAAGATTAAGAGGATAGGTTGTGGCCTAATTATTTGTTATGGCCACGTGTTTGATACAGAAAGCCTACTTCTGAATGGGAAACCGCACGTAAATGGGCCTTGAAACTAATCCAGGGCAAAGCTGCAACCTACCTCCTATCTGTTTATTTCTGAATGCAGAAATAATCATTGCCTGAGGTTTGTCTTTGTGAGTTGCACAGAAGCCATTTATAAGTATGGGCTTCCCTAATGGGAATGATAAAAAGTCATAATCCAATGTAAAGTTCAGTTACAAAACAAAATTCCACACATCATTTTATACTAACATATCCTTTCCTTTTTCAAACAAAAAAAACCAGGAGTCTATGTTCATGGATTATTCTTGGATGGAGCTCGTTGGAACAGGAAGACAAAGAAATTAGGGGAATCTTACCCCAAAATCCTTTATGATAATATGCCAGTGGTTAGTATCTTCCTACTAAACATGATTTTTTCCCCCTAGTAAACTGTAGTTACATGTAGTCCTCAACTTACAACCACAATTGAGCCTAAAATTTATGTTAAGTGAAAAATTTGTTGAGTTTGCTCCATTTTACGACTTTTCTCGCCACATGTGTTAAGTGAATCACTACAGTTCTTAAACTGTTAACACAGTTGTTAGGTGAATCTGGTTTCCCCATTGACTTTGCTGGTCAGAAAGTCGCAAAAGGGGATCACATGACTCCAAGTCATGGCAACCGTCATAATTGTGAGTCAGTTGTCAAACATCCAGATGTAAATCACGTGACCATGGGGATGCTGCAAAGGTCATAAGTATGAAAAATGGTTGTAAGTCCCTTTGAACGGTCACTAAATGGACTACCAATATCCATTGACCTGGGTTGAAGCAAACATGGACTTGATAGTTCCACAAAGGGGGGGGGGGGTTTCAAACATGCACATTGCCTTTGTGTAAGCAACTCAACTATCATATGTGACTATATATCCCACTTCTTAAATTGTGCTGTAATTGATTGTGCCACTATGCTGATTGGCTTGATTTGGTTCAGAGATTTTGCAAAGATAATCCATCCCCACCCAGATAAAGGAAAATAACTTGTAATCTATCGACATTTTGATCGTCTCCTTCTACTCGCTATACAGATGTGGCTTAAGCCTTGCCGAAGGTCAGACATTCCCAACAGACCCAGTTATTTGGCTCCGGTGTACAAGACAAGCGAAAGACGAGGAACTTTGTCTACTACGGGCCATTCTACCAATTTTGTGATTGCAATGATTCTGCCTTCAGACAGGCCAGAGGAACACTGGATTGGACGAGGGGTGGCCCTGTTATGCCAACTCAACTCCTGATGTAAGGCACTGGGAAAAGAGAGGCTAATGGGCCAGCCTGCCATATTCAGTATCTTTTTCGTCCCTTTTTTCCCCCGAAATTCTTTTTTTTTTTTTTGAAGAAATTCAAATGTTTCAAAAAAAAAAATTTAAATACACTTTATTTGCATCTTTAAGTTGTAAAAAAATTAGAATAAGTTGAATGAAGTAATAATAAAAAGTTCTTGGGGGTAAAAAGCAAGTCTGCATAATTGTTTATTCAATAATTTTATTTTCTTATGTTCCTTGTGAATAAGGAACAGACATAAACACAACACTGTTGACAATGGACAAAGAACAGCATTTCATAATTTCCAGCTTTTATTTATATATATATATATATTTATATATATTTTAAAAATGGATTTTGTTGTAACAAATCAAAACAACACCCCACCCCCTTCCAAAAGCTGTACCTCAAATATATTTCAGGACCATAATCACATTGTTTCAACTGTTAAGGAAAGAAATCACACTGCATCCTAGGATGCTACAGCATTTTCTAAGCAATCATTATATCACAGCTGATTTAGTGCAGTGTGATCAACATGGGATGTCACACAGTGACAGCATTTTAAGATACAAGTAATAACATTTATGCCCTCTAACAAATATACATTTAAATGAGACTGGACTCCCGAGTGGAAGGGAATGATGAATCCACGTAGAAATGTAGTGGAATCCCAATAGTCCCAAATGTGATCACTTAATTGTATTTCAAAAAAATGGGGGGAATTCAGCACCCAAGGAAAATAGGGGAAAGCTAGGGCTATTCTACGGCTCTTCACAAAGTGTAACAGGCACACAAGTGAATGAGGGGGGATCGTCTCCCGAAGGCTCACCAAAATCCTAACCTTACACCAGAGGGCTGGTGTTTTGTAGAGAAAAAAAATTATTACTTGGGTCTAATTATTTTCCCCAGATTGACATTACATTATAGAACATGCCATCAGAACGCAAAAGGAAAAAGTACTACCTGAAATAGAGGAAGCTTTATTCATAATTACAAAAATAGACTTTGAAAATCCTGTATGTCTGACTTTTTTTTGCCAAAAAAAAAAACAAAAAACCCTCCCTCCAACGGTCTGGCACACTAATAAATCAAGAGTCCAAATCTTAGGAGAAGGAAATCCCACTGATAGACACCTAAGGGGAACGCAGCAGCATCTCCTCTAGCTTGCAGCCAAGCATTTTAGCTGGAGTTGAGTTCCTCTCTCTAGCAAAGAGGGCGAGACCAAAGACCCAACCTTACAGTCTTTACAGTTGTTCTGAGATCCCAGCGGGTATGCATTTGGTAAGGGAGTAGGAACCAGTTCTCCTGGAGACACTAGCTAATCAAAACACTGATGTCTGTTCGTATTCAACCCTTCCCACAAAAGCCACCTTCATCTGACACACCTTTAAAGTAGACAACACTTGCACAAATGCAGGAATGTCTGGAGAAAAGCCAGTGGAATGGTCAAAAAGTAAATTGGAATGAAAACATATCTGGTTTTGTAATTTTTATGAACTCTCTGATGGGAATAAAAGAAAATACTCTCTTCCCACTAAATCCCAAACCTACCAACCTTTCTTTGCAGCTCAGCTTCGTCTACTTAAAAAAAGAAAAATGCTGGAAGAAACTAACTCCCAAGATTAACTTAAGATTAACCTGTTGTGTTCTTCTTTCCTGGGACTGGAAGAGTCTGCTTCTGTCATAATCTCTTACAATCTATCTCTAGGTGTCAATAGTTGATTGGCACAAACATTCTCCCTACGGTGGAGCTAATCCCTGCAGAGTTAAGGCTTTCCCCCAAATCTGCATGTGCCATGATGCTGGCACAACCACTCCTCTATCATAGAGGGCCTGCTGCTCGATGTCATCCCTGCAACGCACCTCCCTGGCATGGGTTTCTAGGAACCCCTGCAGCAGGAGGCAGCAGGTCCCCCTGCTGGAGAGGAAGCACCACCAAGATCGGAGGTCACCTGCTTGGCTTTTGGGAGGAGACCTCTGGTCTTCTACATTGCAAAAGGAACCCAACTGCAACAAAGACAGGGATGAAAGCCCAGCAGAATAAAAGAAAGTTCAAAACAATGAAAACTTCAAAACAATCTCCCAAAAGGGGGCCTTGGGAAAATTCCCAATGTCAAGCGGCTGCAGATGCTCCAAATGTTAGATGGCATGGCACTTAATTCATACATTCAAAACTGTTCTCAAGAATCATGCCAAACAAACATGAAAAAGGCTGCTGTCAAAGAAACTTGAAGCAGGACCTCCCTTAGTAACAGAAAAGTCAGTATGAACCTTTCAAAAACAGCATTGCTATTTGCTCCACAACTGCAGCCGCGGGATCGGAGGGAGTCCACAAGCAGTATTTAGCTACCTGGCATTTTGCTAATCCATCTCCCACAAGTTAGTATGAAATAGCTAATACTTCCCAACCCCACACCTCGCCAAGGTACACAGGCTTGATTCCGAGATCTGCAGCCTGCTTTTCCTTGGACTTCAAAAGGACGAGTACAATACCACCATAATAATGAAGGGGCTCAAAAATCTGTGAAGGAGCCAGTAACCGCAGAGCTGCATAATAGCGGCTACAGACAAGAACGCATGCTTGAAACCCTGTATTAAACAGCTGATTGGCAAGGAGTGGGGAAAGGGGGAGGAAAATTCAATTCAGAACTGAGAAAAGGGGGAAGAAAGTTCAATTCAGTGGCTGAACCAGAAAAACACCCAGTTTTACTTTGGTCATACGATTCAGCGCAGTGCAAAAGAGCCGACTGAGCAGGCAACAGGGCCGGGAGCAAATGCAATCCAATAATAACATGCTAGAAACAATTCATCTTTTTTTGCTTTGTTTAAAAAAAAAAACATTAAAAAGGTAAACCCCTCCCAGAATGGTTCTAGTTGTGTGCTGCCAACTAATTTCAGTTGTAAGCCTGTGGTGTTAGAGGATGGGACAAGGAGCCCAGGCAATGACCTAACTTGGCACATGAGCTCTGTGGAGAAATAGGGGTGCTTTTCACTATTTGCTCAAAGACAACACAAAAGGCTTTGTCAGCAGGGGGTGTGACTTCTGCTGCACATTGCCAAAGCCAAATAGAAATGATATGTTTGCAACAGCATCTCATGCATCATGTTTACATGCTCTGCTTCCAACACAACCTGATTTTTTTTTTTTAATTTAAAAAGAAAACACTGGACCAAATCAATTGTCTTTTGTTTCTCTCTTCCGTTCTGTGAGCTGGAAAGAAGCAGAGCCTGTTTAAACAGATACCAAAATACGGTTACTGATAAATCAGTGTGTGTCACTGCTTTGTCTGGGAACTGATGTGCATACAGTACCGCAGGGCAGACTAAAAAAAGTCTTAACAGTAGCATGACTGCAATCACAGTTGAATACTGGAAATTTTCAAAACTGAATGTCCAACACTATTTTGTCTTCATAAAGGGCAATCACGAGCATGATGGCAAAACCTAGGACAAGCCCCAAGTTCTGGAGGACGAACTGACCCACCGGACAGTAACCGTGCTCTTCGTTGTCTCCATCCCCATGAAGCATCTCTGGAAGCTGAAAGGAAGGAAAAGCCTGAATAACCCTTTTTAATTAGGGACACCCCCCCCCCTTCAATTCAGAAACCGAGAAGGAACTTCTGCTTTGAAACGATGGGTCTGCACTGACAAGAGGGCTGGGGACAGTTTCACCGCCTCAGGCTTGCTTTCCCCATGAACTTCTCCTCCCACAGAATTCTGCGCATCACTGCTGTGACTTAAAATCTGATTTCCGGAAGCCCAAGCTATATATCCCATGATTTATTTTTTTTTTTACTTTCCTGAATAATCAAGGATTCCAGTATTACAACCACAGGTTTTTATTAGTTTCTCCATTTATTTCAAGCCCAGATGCTCTGTATTAATTAGTTAAAGTGCCACCCATCCACAAAAAGGAACTCCAGTCAGCAAACTATAACCATTATTCAAGTTTATTTGCAAATTAGGCTATTATTCTTAGCATATAGTTCAACTCCTCCTCCATCCCTCATTATTGCTACTGTTCCCTTTAGCCCTCAACTGCCATCTTCTAATGATAAGAGACATTCCATCAATTTTTCCCTCAACTCATAATAATATTTGTTTTTCTGTACTAGGAATCCAAGGTCATCCCTGATCCGTCCTATTGTGAGCAAGCTATTCCCATTCTGGCTCTTTCTCTGCAGGCCCTTTTCTCTTCCTAGGTGAGAAACTGCTCCCTGTTGGCCTCCTACATGGGCCTGGGTCTTCTGGTATTAGCAGAGCTGCAGGCTCCAAAGGAGTCTTCCTCAGCCTGGGAAATATTGCCCTACCCCAAAGGCCACAAGCACACAACACTACATATTGCAGATCTTACCATGTCCACAAGGGCCACATAGAGGAACATGCCAGCAGTGACTGCAAAGATCCAAAGAGTGATATTATTTGCGTATTGTCCCACAGCTGTTCCTATTAGCATTCCCACATAAGCCATCATCGCCGAGAGGAGGTTGTAAACAATGGCCTGCTTCACAGTCATGCCCGCCTTCAGAAGAACAGCAAAGTCACCTAGTAGAAAAGCAAAAGCGACAGCACAATCACGAGTGCAGCAATGGCTTATCCAGTCTAATCACGAACATCCTTACTCAAAAGATCCCCGGATATACACATGTTCGTGCATCCCCTGGGTTCTATGATCAACATGGTTTGAGGAACAATTCTTGAAGAATTAGCATTCCATTTTGAAAGACAATATTTGTACCGAGGGTTACAAGCATATGAAATTTAATGTCATAGCTTTCTGACTCATTTCTTGGCTAAGCAGAAATTCTGGTGGTTGATGCGGTTGTCTAGGGCCATGATGGCGAACCACAGGTGGCACACAGAGCCATTTGTGCCGGCACGCGAGCTGTAGGCAAACTTACCTCACTGGGCATGTGTGCACCTCACAGCTGATTTTCGGCTGGTTTGAGGCCTTTTTCGGCCTCCCAAAGGGTTGAGGAAGACTTCTGCAGGCTTTGCAGGCCAAAAACTAGCCCCGTTTTGTCACTTCCTGTTTTTCCAAAAATACCGGAAGTGACGAAACGGGGCT